CCGTACACACTACAAAATATATCTAACAAATTCATCAATGTAAGCATATTCATTCGCTTGTTTTTGGTTGTACATACACATTAGCCGATCGAATCCATTCAACTGAATTCTTTCGGTATATGAATACAGGACTTTACTGGTGTGTAAGATGAGTTGGTCTCGATAAATAATGGAAGTTTGAACGCTATCAAATTAAGTATAATGTGCCCCATATTTCGAGAATGTATAATTTTTCCCTTTGGTGGTAATACACACAACTGCTATGTTGTTGTAAAGAAAAAATCTTGTAAAAAACATTCTATAATTCAGCAGCACACCTGGACATCAAATCATTCAAAATGCGAAATATTTGGGAGTTATATCCTTCATTTAGTCTTTGTGGACATGTTGACATGATTTAAGCAATTTTTTGAGTGGTAGGTACCTAATGGTAAATGTTCTTATGAAATTTTTTACAGACACTGTGTTAAATGTTCAAAAAAGATGCCAAAGCTCTTTTTTTCATTATGAATTCATTCCTTTCTTGACAGATCTGGTGCAGCTGTGTTATTAAGCTTCTTATAATGATGTTGGTTTTGATATTGGTAACATTATTGAATCAATTTTGAATGTTGTGATACCTACAACTCTAGTTAAGCCCTTCCCTAAGTTTATCTATAGGTATTCAAAGATTGGTTAGGCAGAAGTAATTAGTATTTGCAATTTAAATTAATGTATCAAGATATTGTAACAAAGCATAATAATAGCAATTTTTCTGTTTATAATAACTACTTATATTAGATACAAATACTGCATATTTTTGTATTTGCGAGTGAGAAAATAATGCCTACCACTTCTATGTACGTACAACATTAGATAATTGAATTCAAATATATTATATCAGTATTGTTCAAATTTTATGAATAGATTTCAATAAATATTAAACAATAGCTATTTATTTCATAAGGATATTACCGTTGTCATAATTAACGAGGATCCGAGTTTATTATGGCGGGTAATATCCAAATGAAATACATAGCTTTATCGAAACATACTAGATAAATTGTATCCCTGGTTACGACAAAACAAATACCGCTATTACTTTCTCCTTGGTTACGACAAAACAAATCTTAAATTTTTCTCATGATGGATAACGTCGAAATCGTTCCCCAAGATATTTTATTAGAAGCGGAAGAGGTTTCTTTAAATCTTGCCAATTGAATCCCGAGAATTATACGAAAAAGAGTACCGTGAATTCTGTACCTGGCGTGAGGCGCGTGGAGCAAAAGGAGCTTCAGAACCTATTTCACTTGCGTACTTTAAGACCAAGGTGAGTACTTAATTTGGAACTTTCCTTTTCGATCTATTCCTTGTTATACCTGTATTGTTACAACATTGTAGGCGCCTAGGCGGAAAAATATGCACCATCTACGTTATGGACTCACTACTCCATGCTGCGGACTTGTTTGGATATAAAAGAAAAAATGAAAATTAACAAATATAGGTACCTAGTGTCCTGATTGCTTTTTGTTTCAAATACAGATAGAAGTGTCCAGTGGCCAATCTATAGATATAAACGGTCATGCTAATAAATAAAAACGCGCTTTTAAGTCTCAATATACAAGTTGATATAAGTACCTGAACCCAATAGCTTAGCCGCTTTCTTCCATACAAGTTACGTTAATATTAGAACTCTTGTACCTATTATGGTAACTATGATATTATGAAGGGTAACTATGCTATTATGAGAATTTGTTATTTTGGGGTACTTTTCACGCAAGTTCACTGATAAATTAAGTACGCAATAAATGTCATGTTTCGATAAAACTATTATTATATTATTATATATTATGTTACAGAGGATGCTAGTGATATCTGTTTGTCTTGCCAATTTTTTTAATACACTTGTTTGAGCAAATTTTTAAACTGTAAACAGGTTGAAAAAAGTACATAATTGCAAGGTCGCCAATAATACTAATGCTACGATTTTTCAGAGCTCTAGTACGCCCAGTTACTACAATAAAGATAAAATATTTAAATAAGGACTCAACAAACGTTTCTCGCATCCTAATTCAAATGTGATTGTTAAAGTCGCTAGTACAAACTCTTATAATTGCTTGAAGACGGTTTTTTACGGGATCATCTTGCTCCAGATAGGTACTTTTTACAGGGAATAAACAGTGCCATTTGCATACAAGTGTTAAGTGTACATGAGCTATGGGCAGTGGACGGATAGTAAGCTGGTGACAAAGTAACAAAAAAAAAATGTATGGAAAGCTACAATTTGTTCAATTTCCAGCCATTCTATTTTCTTGGAATTGATTTTCAAATTCACATATGTAAATTCATATCCGCGAGCGAGGATCAAATGCAACTTAAATAGCACCTATTGACCAGTGCTACTTAAGATTTGGAAATTTTGAATGTAATCTTTACACAAGTGCACATGCAATAGGATATAAGTATAATCATATGACACTTCTATTCAACACAACACCGACAAATTAAATACATGTATGGTGCTAAACGCTTTCCTTTTAGTTCTGTAGGTCATACATTGTTTGAAATATTGCCCCAATTCTTCATCAACATCCTGTGAACATTTTAGCCTTTATAAATAATGTTGCACCCCAGAGTAAGAAATAAAGATAGAGATGCCTTGATGCTTGACGCTTATCAAAACGTGTCATATCGTCCTGTTTCTAAACTTTGCTGGCGGCGAACTTGTCACATTTCGCGAGACGATTTTTAAGGGAATATTAAACAACACATATTTAAAGGAACTAAATGGATTTGAAATATTTATCAGAGTTGTGGAAAACAAACAATTATAAGTTGAAATTAAGGCAGTTTAATAAGAAAATTTATTTGACAGATGAGAGGATTTCTGTTTATTTCTACAAAACGTAATTTCTGCATTTTTAGCTCATTTTATAGAATCGGTCCTACCTGCAGTGTTGCCATAATTCTCAACACGGCTTGTAAATATAGATGGTTGCATGGTATGATCATTGAATTTATAACTATCAGAAGCGCGGATCCCATATAACAGTTTGTGACCATGTGCCAACTGGCCGCCGCTAGGAGCAGTTCGATCGTTTGAAAGTCCGTGGGCGATCGAAAGTGGAGCGTTACATTGACATTAGATGGCAGCATTACAAACCATTTATTTTGACCATTCGAATATTTTCCTTTTTAATCGTCAGATGTCAGGAACTCCGGATGTTTTTTGTGTTATCATTGGAATGGTTTTATAAATAGGATTGGAATGTTCTAAAAATAGATCCCTTAAGAAGCATTGCGTAAATTTGTAATGTAAATAATAATACATTTAGACGAACGAAGCTTGCAGTCCTTGTCCTTGAAGGAATGCAATTTCATACATTCTATTCACAGGCAGTAAAATAAGCAGGTTCCACATTTTTACTGAAAGCGGGAGATTTTGTTATTAAAAAACGATCAAAAAAATTTTAAGGCAAAATATTGTCCGTTGCAAGCAGGCAGCTACATCATTTCCACATTCACATTTGATAACTAAATTTCGCGAATCAGCTTTTTTTATAACCATGCAGCATTGTGCACAAATAAATCGGTCCCAGTTTACGTGAATTCGTATACCTACTAGAGCTGAGCGATAAATGAAATTGTTATCGATTTATCGATAAGTCTGTTCAGTCTGATAATTATCGATTAATCATTAATTGATAACTATCGATAATTATCGATAACTTTAATCACTTATCGTTAACTTTCGATAATAATCGACAATTATCGATAAATCGTAAGGCTAATTTTCGATAATGATCGATAACGTTTGATAATTATCGATAACTTTTTATAATTATCGATAACTTTTGAAAATAATTAATAATGATTGTTAGCTGCTGATAATAATCGATTATTATTGCCACGAAAATTGTCTATCTCTGATATTTATCGATTAATAAATAAGTAGCGGAAATTATCAAGAGAAAACTATCGATACTTTTTCATAAATCTCATCGATATATATTCTCAATCGATATATTACATCATCCGTGCTTACACTCGATAACATTTTTGTTTTTTTGGTATTGATATTGCGAGAGATAATTTAAATAAAACAGGATCTTTTGATGCTCAAGTTGTCTGAAATCAAAGGTGATCAAGTGGACGATAATCCTCAAAAATGAGTACAGCAGTAGGTTGTGAATTGTGATCATATGGCAACTCAACAATGCTCTTACATCGCTTTTGTTGGAAGTAAACTGGTATACCTAAACATTGAAAAGTTTATGTCGTTAAAAATTCTCTCGATAATTATCTATCTTAATAGTTTATAGTTGTAAGATTAATCGATAGATTATCGGTAATTATAGGTTTATCGACCAATCCTTTAACATTTTCGATAAATTACACCGGTCTACAGCATTTTTGCGCATGGGACATATATACCTTATTTTTATTGCTTCTATAGCCACAAATAAGAATTAGAACAAAAAATGGTTATGTATTTGTTTTTGTGTGAAAAAAATGCAAAAAACCAAAAAATAAAAATACCTATAGAATCCTACTTACATAGGCATGATTTATTAAATGGTAACGTTTCTACATTTATAATTTGTTTATCTTAGAGTCTAAATGTTTAAAAATGGAACAGTTTTGCTGTTTTTGTCATGTTCAACTGAATCTGATCTTCCATCATGCTTCCAACTTCCTGGCCTTGGGAAGGTGCCTAAGTTCCATTGTCTCGAGAAAGTGTTGTCCTTATTCCGAATAAGCTCCCATATTATCCTTAAATTGATCTAAATGTGTTGTGACGTGTCTTTGGTGGGGCTATAATCAAGTGCGCGGGTTTACATTGTTTTACAACCAGTCTACTTCGTGCAGACACGATGTTATTTTATCAGCGCGTCTGGCTCACAACCGACTGTATTATTTGTGCATATTATTGTAACAGTTCATAACGTATATTCTTATAAATAAATAGTAATCGTATTTACATATCTAACACATTGGCGACGAATAGTGGATACGAAACCATGCTAGAAAACGAAAATAGTGGTGTTTCCCGGCCGGCCTCTGGTGGTCTGATGAGCGTGGGGCACATCGAGCCTTTCAACCCAGAAAACCCAGCGAGTTGGCCCGTCTATGCGGATCGCCTCAATTTCTACTTAGAAGCAAATGGAATAACCGACGATGTTCGAAAAAGAGCCGTTTTGTTAACAATGTGTGGGGCAGAAACCTACGAGATCGTGAAATCGCTCTTATCGCCGGAATTGCCAAGAAACAAAAGTTATGAAGAGATCATTGAAGTACTTGACAAGCATTTTACTCCGAAGCCGTCCGAGATTGTGGAACGATATTTCTTCTACAGGCGAAATCAGGAAGATGGCGAGTCGATTTCCGCGTACATGGCGAAGTTGCGCAAGATGGCGGAGCATTGCCAGTTCGGAAACACGTTGGAGGTCATGCTTCGAGATCGTTTGGTATGCGGGGCGAAGGACAAGAACATACAGCGCCGTCTGTTGGCTGAGAGAGAGCTTACCCTGCAGCAGGCATTTGAGATGGCTGTAGCGTCTGAGACCGCGTCAACTCAGATTACAGAGATTCGAGGGGAACCGACTAAAGGGGAGGTGTCCAAAGTTGCACATTCCTGGGATAGAGGGCGTGCGGAGACGAAAACAAGGAGTTTCGTGAATGTTATTTGTTTTCGTTGCGGAGGGCGCCATGATGCTGAATCTTGCCGATTCAGAAACGAAGAATGTAGAAAATGTGGCAGATCTGGCCATATTCAAAGAGTGTGCAAAACCAAGAAAACGCCAGAGAGGTCAGAAAAGTCAAAAAAAGCCGTGAAAAATGTCACCGAAAGAGAAATGCTGGAGGATGAAGAAGAAGTCGAGTACCTGTACTCCGTCGAAGAAGCAGTAGTCAATCACCTGGAAGAAAATATTGTACCGCCAACTAAAGTGCGTGTGTTGCTGAACGGTATCGCGTGTTGTTTTGAATTAGACTCCGGTAGCGCGTCGACAATAGTAGACTTTAGACAGTACAAGAAATTGTGGCAAAAAGGTGGCCCACGAATCGAGTCGTACGGTAAAATGTTAAAAGACTATCAAGGAAATTTAATCGAACTGATGGGTGCGTGTAAAGTTGAAGCGGAATACGCCGATAATCGCGAAACGCTGACTTTAGTAGTGGTCAAAGAAGATCGCTCCAACATCCTAGGTCGAAGCTGGTTTGTGCCTTTAGGATTCAGTGTCAAAGGTGTCAAGCAGGTGTCGAGTGATAGCGGAAAGGTAACATCAGTTATCCAAGAATTTTCGGAAGTGTTCAAAGACGAACTTGGCGAGTTCAAAGGAAACCCCATTAAGTTTGTATTCCAAGAAAACGTCAGCCCAGTTGTACTGAGGGCGCGTAGGGTACCTTTCGCACTAAAACCAAAAATCGAAGAAGAGTTGGATAAATTGGTTCGCCAAGGGGTACTAGAACCAGTGGAGCATCCTGTGTGGGCAACGCCGATCGTTCCGGTAATTAAGAAGAACGGGGACATTCGCATTTGTGGTGATTATAAATCTACGCTTAATAAATGTCTAAAATCGAATCCCTATCCGATGCCGACGGTGGCAAATTTATTCGCATGCCTGTCCGATGGAAAGTATTTTTGTAAGTTGGACCTGGCACAGGCCTACCAACAACTGAAAGTTGACGAAGAAGCCGCGGATGCTCAAACTATCATCACTCACAAAGGCGCATATCGCGTGAGAAGATTGCAGTTTGGTGTCACGGTGGCCCCGAATTTATTTCAGCGTTTTATTGACACGCGTCTCAACGGAATCACGGGAGTTTTTCCATTTTTCGATGATGTGCTGATAGTCGGAAAAACTGAAATAGAACTGAGTAACCGGTTACACGAAGTTCTTAGGCGTTTCGCGGCCGACGGATTGCGATTGAAAGAAGACAAATGCGTGTTCAACGTGCGGGAAATCGAATTTCTCGGGCACCGAATCGATTCGCATGGCATCCACCCCTCGGAGAAAAAGGTGCGTGCAATTAAAGAAGCTCCTGAACCCGAATCCAAAGAACAGTTGCAAGCGTTTTTGGGGATTTTGTCATTTTATAGTGGGTTCCTAAAAGATCGTGCGACTGTAGCTGAACCACTGTACCGTTTGTTGGACAAGACTAATACCTGGAAGTGGACAAATCGCGAAAGAAACGCATTTGAAGCTGTTAAGAATTTAATCGCGTCGGACAAAGTTTTAGTGCACTACGAGGAATCGAAACCGATCGTGTTGACTTGTGACTCATCCAGTTTCGGCATTGGTTGTGTGTTAGGACATCGTTGTGAAAACGGTCAAATCGCCCCTATCGCGTTTCACTCAAAAACCTTATCGAAAACGGAGCGTGCATACGCGCAGCTCGACCGCGAAGCTTTATCGTTAATTCTCGGAGTCAAAAAATTCCACAATTATCTCTATGGCCGACATTTCGAGCTTCAGACCGATCATAAACCCTTATTGGGAATTTTAAGCAAGGATAAACCCGTTTCGGAGATGCTTTCGCCGCGAATGTTACGTTGGACTCTTTTCCTGAGTAACTATAATTTTAATTTAGTGTACGTCCCTGGAAAGAAACTTGGGAGCGCAGACGGACTCAGCCGTTTTCCTCTTAAATCCGAAGAGTCCAAGCAAGTAAGTTACGGTGACGTGCTGATGATCGAAAACGCGCCGGAACCGCTGTGGACAGCGGAAGACATTGAAAAATTAACAAAAAAAGACAGGGTGTTGTCGCGAGTTCTTAATTTAGTGCAAAGAGGATGGCCAGATAAAGAAACAGACGTGGAGTTACAGCCGTTTTATACAAAAAGGAACGAGTTGTCGGTCTACCGAAACTGCGTTCTGTTTGGGAATCGTGTAATAATTCCTCTCGAAGGGAGGAAGAAGGTATTACAGGTTTTGCATTCCTCACACCCGGGAATCGTGAAAACGAAGGCCCTAGCCCGCAGTTACGTATGGTGGCCGAATATAGACATAGACATAGAAAAGGTTGTGAACCAGTGTGAAACGTGTCAGCAAACTAGACATTTTCCTGCTAAGGCGCCAATTCATCCGTGGGAATATTCAAGGAATCCCTGGAGCCGTTTACATGTTGACTTTTTTGGACCAATACAAGGTCAGCAATTTTTTATTGTGGTAGACTCGTACACAAAATGGTTGGAAGTGAAATGTGTGAAAACAACGTCATCCGGTTGCGCGATTCAAGTATTACGTGAACTATTTGCTACACATGGTGTGTGTGACGTAATAGTTAGCGATAACGCAACTGCGTTTACCAGCGACGAATTTAAGACATTTTGCAAGCAGAATTTGATAAGACACGTGACGGTTTCCCCTTATCATCCCCGATCAAATGGAGAAGCTGAAAGAAACGTCCAAACCGCGAAGGAATCGCTGAAACGTTTATCCGGAAATTGGTCTCTTAAAATTGCCAGGTTTCTGCACAGACAGCACATTACGCCGTCGTCTAGCACAGGTTACAGTCCGGCCGAACTTTTGATGGGACGAAAATTGCGTTCCTGTTTGGATAAATTACATCCTGATTTAATAGGAGAGAAGTTGAATCGAGAAGTGGAAGAGCGTGTAGAAAACCGGAAAGTTTCAAAATTTGCTGTAGGTGAACCTGTTTTCGCAAGGGATTTTTCGGTGAGTCATCAAAACTGGAAGCCCGCAGTAATAACAAGAACCACGGGACCACTTAGTTATCAAGCAGTCGATAACGATGGAAATTCTATCCGACGGCACGCCGATCAACTGCGAGGTAGGTCAAGTTTATCTGCGGTAAGCAATAACAGATCGCCGGGGTCAACGCCCGCTGTCGATCAATTTGCATTGGAGCGAGAAGTTTCGCCGCAAACGTTCACTGGGGACCTGCCCTTGGCCGACGAGCCCTTATGCGAGGATCCCAGAGCCAGACCGATACGAGAGCGAAGAGCCCCTTCATACTTGACGGATTATCAGTGCTAAAAGGGAGGGGTGTTGTGACGTGTCTTTGGTGGGGCTATAATCAAGTGCGCGGGTTTACATTGTTTACAACCAGTCTACTTCGAGCAGTCACGATGTTAGTTTATCAGCGCGTCCGGCTCATAACCGACTGTATTATTTGTGCATATTATTGTAACCGTTCATAACGTATATTCTTATAAATAAATAGTAATCGTATTTACATATCTAACAAAATGAGAATGTAACCTGTACATCTTTATTCTTTAGAGACATTCTATACCCCATGATACAAAACCAAATCCTGTCAGCTCGTCATAATTTTCAGCTCTATGGTTTCCCAGGAAACACTGAACGGGAAACCATGGACTATTGCCTTAAAACTGTTCCAGGATTTTTTTTCCTCTTTGCTAAGTAACCGCGGAAAAATATCACCCTCCATTTTTCTTTTTTTTTTAGGGAAAACAAAGATTCCAGCTTTAATTTTCGCCCCTGAAAGCTTTCAATCAAATCGCTGTAACTTTTGTAAAAGCAAATATTTTCGATGTCTTAATCGCACTTTTTATTTATTTTTGCTTATTATAGTCAGAATATATATTGTGTAAATCCCATGCGCAAAAAATTCTTTTTTTGTTGACCGGTCGACCATTTTTTTTAAATTTATCGATTGACTATCTATTAATCGATAATTATCGATAAGTTATCGATTAACCATTGAGAACAAATTTCAAACGTCAGAATTTAAAAGAAAAGAGGTTAACGACCTTTTTATTTTGTATCAAAATTGCCAGGTGTGATGTGTGATCCTAGATCAGGGGTCGGCAACCTGCGGCTCTTTTGATACCTATAAAGTTGCGGCTCTCCGTATTTATCTAAAGAAATTAGTTCATTTGTTCGAAATTCGCCTTTTTAATTAATCTTATTTTGTATCAAAAGTATACTTGCAGCAAATAATTATCTAATTTTTGACACTTGTTTACTTTCTGGTATTCTTTTGTTTTTTTTATTATAGCCAGCCTACTCCGATGTATAAACACGTAATTAATTAATGAGTAGGTACTTTTGTGAAAAATATTGAATAACCTAAACACTGCGGAGTTTAAGCACAGGGCACCCCTTATAAACATTTAAGAGAAGACAAAAGCGAATAGCGAAATAAAATAGTGGTAGTTCCATTTAAAAAAGAATAGTTATAGCACTTTGAACAAACGGCATTGAAACAACCAAATATTCAGGATGTTCTATTTAAAAAGATCAGTTATTAATTGACATCGTAAAAATGGAACACCCTGTACATTCAAAAATAATTTCTGTAGATCCGCAACCACCAATATTTTTACCAGGTATCTATCAGCTATGTAGGAAAAACCGACGGACTGTTGCAGGACCCTGTATATAGCCAAAAACTATAATATTGAATCAAAAATTATTTGTGGCTCTTTAAGAATTGGGAAATTTTGTAAATTGTAATTTTTAGCTCTTCCGTTTCAATAGGTTGCCGACCCTTGTCCTAGGTAGTTTAACCGACACACACAAAAATTAAGAATAGATAGGTAGGTACATTTAATTTCTGTTACAGTGATCAAGGATGCCTGCGTATTTTTTGCTTTCCTGTTCAAATGTAATTCAATCTTCCTTAAGGAATGTTAAGTAAGGTCACGATTCATGAAAGGAAGAATGTTTATCTTACGTCATTCAACATCCTGTGTGCCACATAAATGCCTTATAAGTACGTTTCTTGGGTATCTAGAATTCTGTATACAACAATTACAAATCGAGATAGTGGGTTCATTACAGATTCCTGTATAATAATTAACAAAGGTAAAAAACTGACATTATTATTCATCTTTCTCGATGGTAGAGACATCTACGTCTTGTAATTTAAACTATTGAAAACAGTCACATATCCTGCCATTTAACCTGCGCTTCTGATAGTTATAAATTCAATGGTATGATGGTTGTGACTCAACTGAAGAAATAGTTAATATTGTCAATTGGTATAGTGCCGGCAACAATTTAAGGAGCAGAAGAGACTTATTTTCTTTCACTTTAATATTAGTGATTGTTTATAAATAAATGTGATGCACAAGACACCGTAAACAACCCTCAGTTTTAATTTAACTGAGGATATGATAGGTACCGAACATTTTAATTTTTGTGGAAGAGAATCCCATAAGAAAAATAAGAGAAATAACGGCCGAATTTAATATCTGTTCAGCATAACCTAAAAACATACTATGTATTTACTGTCGCTTTTATTAAAATCCAGAATGATAGTGCAGAATGCATACAATATGTTTGGATGGCATAAAATTAGCTGTCTCGGAAGAGTTTTTGTTTTGTTTAAAAGTAGATATAGGAAATCCCTATGTCTACTTCTAAATAAATAACACTGTATACGGAAGGGCAGATTATATCAATCGATCAATAATAATATTTTGTCTCGGCTGTGCAACGAAATCAAGCACAAAATAAACATGACTACCTACTTCCAAGAATGGTTAAAAAAACTGTGATGTAAAAAATAATGCCTGCAGCTATACATATGCAAGAATTTGTTGTAACATTTAAATGAATGTATCTTTATTTTTAAAGCAATTATGCAGAAGCTTCTTCGCAGTGCTTTATATAATATATTTTAGGGGACTTCATTGTATTAGTCCGGGAGGTAGCGTCTCATCTTTGGTTTCTTTGTAGCATTCAATAATCGTCTCGCTATTGCGTGCATGAGGTGCGGAAGTTTCAATTTTGCCAGCCCAGTTTATTGGGATTTATCCTCGTTCAATTGATATCAATAAAGCTCGAAAAATATATTTTGAGACCCGCCCATAGTTTGGGGATCTAAATCATCAATTTATACACGCCGCCTTTATTTCCAAAAATTTTAAACAATCTTACTGTTTGTCTTATTTTCTCCTTAGCTTCTTCGACCACCAGAGGGCTATTTTCTAATTTTTTGGCACGGCTCCCTAACAGGGAAATAAAAGTTAGTAGCGCCTGAAAAATAATCTCACACAAACATACCTAGTCTCTCCGTGAGCAGCCGCAGCCGTGGTTAGGGCTATTAGTTTCCTTTTTTTGGTTTGTTTTGTCTCTTTTGATTTATTTTATGTCCTTAACAAATCATAAAATACAATGTTTCAATTTATGTATAATATTATTATAAAGCATGTGATACCATTTTACTCATGTACCTATTCTCTTTCAATCATATTTTTCTCCAATAATATGACATCAGCATGCATGGAAATGAGCACCTTGTGATGAAACCGAATTAGCCCGCTAAAATTCGATTTAAATATTCCCGAAATCGAGCCTGGCGCGACGAAAAAGGTCAAGATTGCGCTTTGTTTGGTTTTCGTGGAACACGTGTTTTTTTCTTCTCTGCTCTACATTGAAATGGGCCATAATTTACAATAAAAGTGTCAAATATTATGCTATGCGAGGAAACTTAATGATCCGTATCGACCCGTCTCGGAGCACGTTCAATTTTCGTCTAGGATTTACCTACACAGGGGAAATTTAAAGAGAAGTATTGGTGCTTTTGTTGAAAGCGGTAGAAAATCTTTACGTTCCGTATAGTGAGTGCGACTTCGAGAACTGCAAAGGTGACGTAGTCTCAATCCTTACCTGTATTACACCCTTTAGTAATTGTGTAATCGTGTTAGATTATTTGCCAATTTAATGTTATTCTCGTACAGCATTGATTATAGCCATTTATAACACATTCTAGATACAAATCGCACTTTTCATTATACTGGTTCTACTGTGAATGACTGACCGATTTACGTGTTTTTACTTATATTTAGATCATGCATGTCCACTTAGGGGCTATATTCAATACAAGTATGCAGTAGAACTACATTTTAATTTATAATTTCGCTTTTGTTTGCCTGAATATGTTACTGTGTATTTACAGGGTGCCTCATCTGGGGGCGAGTGACGTACGTTAGGTGGTTGATTGTTGATTATATCGTTATACTCCTACTATTTATTTGCGGGTGATTATGATTATTAATATTTGGCAGGGTGACTTGTTTCGAATATGTACTGTGCTATATTTGATAGGTACCGATATTATATCTCGATTTGGCGAAAATGGTCCGAAAAACAATTTTTTTACGTCTTTCTCAGTCTCTCGCCATCTTAAGCCACGCTTTTGAACCAGCTGACGCCCCTATCGTTGATAGGTTATGGATCAAAAATCTATAGTAGAAAGATGAACTTTGCGAAAATGATCCGGTCAAATAGGACGCTAGCTCCCGGACTATATGTCTTGCTGTAAAGTGATACAACCGAAAACCAATACAATTCATTTTATTAGCAGCTAAATATTACGTATCTTAAGCTACATAGTAAGAACCTTGTGCTCATGGAAATGGAAAATGTGTATGTGGATTGCGCTGATATCTCAAAAGTACTACAAAACAAATAACCTCACACCTTTAACATGTGTTTTTACCACCTGAAACACAACAACCAAGCATTTTTCTTTTCTAACGTTTGAAAAATCTTAAGGAGACCTAATACCTACCCTTTACTAGGAAAAGAAAATTCAAACTTCAAATACTTGACAGATATCTGCAAAACAGGCGAAAGTGTAGTAGTAACAAGCTCTGCCCCTCTCCCGATCCTCAAGCTGTTTGGTCATCATTCTTCAGATACCTTATAAAAACCGAGTTTCTGAAGACGACACTCACAAAAGGAAAATGGAACATCTAGGGGAGGTACATCTTCACGAAAGCACTAAACAAAATTTGAATAAATCCTCAAACAATTAATGTATGTACTTGCTTAGATTTCAATGTACCCTTGCTTCCTCCCTTTTTGGCCCGTCCAACTTCTCTTTCCTACTGTGTCTTACTTCCCACAGTATTAATAAGATAAATCGAGAAGGGCCGTAGCCAGATTGATTATTAAGAGCGGGTCAATAAATACCTATACCAAAGAGGTACATACATCGAGCCGCCTATTTTTGGCGGCCAAGTTGAAGCTTAAAGGTGCTCGTTCACTTATAGGCGAAG